CAAAACCAAAAAAAAATTATTCCCAGAAAAAAAATAGGAAAAAATCTTCCCAGGCATAGTGCGAAAAAAAAATTCTTTGCTTGGAAGATAAGCCTATAAAATTCACTTAAAAAATATATTTCCAGCCATCAAGTGAGAAAAAAAAATTTCTTCTATAGGTGTACAAAAAAAATATTGCCTCTTAGAAAATCCCCCCCATCACTTTTCTAATGGTCCGTCCCTAACTAGTACCTACCACACATAAAAATCTCATTAGTCTACCAACAAGCCGTCAACAAGTTGTGTTATTCCCACTGCTTGTCCCAAGTTGTCAACAAGTTTGGAACAACTTTTTGACAGTTGTAACAGCCTTCAGTGTTGATATTATCAGATTTGTTGCAAGATTGTTCCAACACGTCCGATACAGTCATGATATAACAACATTGTTACAACCTTTTGTCGTCAACCTTGCAACATTCTTGTTATATCATGACTGCATCAGACTTGTTAGAACAACCTTGTAACAAGTCTGATAATGTCATCAAGCTTATTACAACTGAACTCTCTCCAACGGGTTTTTTCGGAGCAATTTTACAAAAAATTATAAGCTATAGGCCTACTATAACATGAAATTCTAACTAATTTAATTACTAATATGGATTTAAAATTGTCAAAGACTAAATGCTACTGTGCCTATGGTTTTCTAAACGATATTTACGTAATTTATGTTTGATAAATCAGAATTGACAAACTACATTTAATGTTCTCAAGAAGTTGAATATATGTAGTATGCATTATTGATCCAAATAAATTTGTGAAATGAAATGAAAATGGATTTAGTAATCATGCTTTCAAAAAATATAAATTTGAACGAAATAAGAAGCTGAATAGAGTTCTGCTATTTGCCCCCTGCCGCCACCATGTTGAACATGAAAAAACGTGTACCACAAAAATGCGGAAATGCTGAAAAAATGCATCATTAGCTGAATAGATCTGTCCAGTACATTCAAGATGGGCTCGTGTCGAAAAACTATTCCCGCGATGTCCGCACCATTCGTAATCGTATTCTTACTTTCCAATTTCTACGCGCTTGGGCGTTCCGATGCGAATTTGATTGGACAAGGTCTGCGCAACCACAGCGAAATTCACGAAGCGAAAAACCTAATCGATGCGCTATCGTTTAAACTTCATTTGAACCTTCGGAAATCTCAAAGCAAATACGAAAGGCTGACGCTGCAATCTAATCAGTATTTGGTGCAAAGTGGTTCGGCTCGAGACGAGATTAAAATGCTGGACAAGTTGAAGGAACTTCTCAATGATCTTACGAAAAAGAACTCCGTTTGCGAAAAGTTTTACACAAATTTTGATTTCACCGCTGCTCGTGAAATAGTGATAAATTCCAGCGCGTCATTACAGAAAGATCATACTGTTATATTACAAGGTATTGTCTACGGAATAGTTCAGTAATGTCTACATGAATGCAGGGGTCTTTTAAAGCTGTGCTTAAATAAACCGTGACAAAATGAACAGTTAATTATATATCGAGATTTCACTTTGTATCTATTGTATCAGTGGGCGGTTTTGGTTCACAAAAAGAATGCATAGTTTTTCGCCAGTGTTGCCGACACTGTGTTTTATAATATAGCGCGTGTTTTCCAAGTTTCCGAAAACAATATTAGCTGACTCAAGGAATAATTTTAAACTTACAACCAAAGCAAAACAAAACAAGAACTGAACTTGACAGCCCTCGCAGCAGGGAACCCTCGATTGCCAAGGTTAGCAGCTCCTTTCTGTGCAACAGGCAATTCCAGCTTTTAGTTTATGTGTGCAGGGGACGATGGGAAGTAAGGTATCATATTGCCGATTATGCTGAAAAAATCAAAATGGTGGCCATGTAAACACGGAGTGATAGCCTACACTTGTAAATATTGAAATATTTCGGTTGCTTCGGTAGAAACACATGTTTCTGCTGGGGCCGTCTAGACCGTAGGCTATACGCAAATGCTGCCGTGGCTGTTATCGGTAAAAATATCTCGCTATCAGCTACATGTGACGATACAACTGCAATTATAATTTTTCCGACGCAAAACGCACCATTCGGATGCGCATTTACGAATTGGCTTATTCCATTGATCCCGTACGAGATGTGTCAACTGCGATTCCAATAAATTATTCTGCGTCAGGAAATAGCAGTTGAATTGTAGGAAATTAGAATATGCATATGGACGTATTCAATTGTTCAATCATGCGTCTTTTCGAATAAAAGTTGCTCAATGAAAGTCGCTTTAAATTAGTTAGAAATATATTTCCTTAATTAATTAAGCGTACCTTCCTTTAGTTTGCTTTACTCAGAAGACAAAATATGCTAGCACGAAAAATATTTAATGGCAGTTCTATAGTTGCTGGC